CAAGAAAAGGCTGAGCTCTTGAGGAAGCCATTCTTCCTTTCATTACTTTCCTCATCGTTCCAGAAAGCATTACAGCAGATGAGCAGAAGGATATAGGAGGGGAGGGGAGGGGCCTGATTAAGGGAAAGAGGAGGGGAGGGGAGGGGGGAAGGGAAGGGAAAGGGGAGGGAACGAAAGGCGGGGGAGGGAAGGTCAGGAAAGGAGGGAGGAGAGGGGAGGGGAGGGAAGGAATGGAGAGAAAAGAGAGAGAGAGAAAGGAAGGAAGAAAAGAGAGAGAAAGGAAGGTAATGTGATGCGTGTAATTCCAGTGCTTTGGGAGGCCAAGGCCGGGGGATTGAGACCAGCCTGGGCAATACACTGAGACCCTATCTCTAAAAACATTAAAAGTTAACCACGCATGGTGGCATGCCTGTAGACCCAGCTGAGGCTGGAGGAGGCTGAGGAGGAGGACCGCTTGAACTCAGGGGTTCGAGGCTACCGTGAGTCATGACTGCACACTGGAACTCCAGCCTGAGTGACAAAGCGAGACATGACACTGTCTTAAAAAAAAAAAAGAGTGATATTGTGAATAAAATCCTTGAGTCTTTTCTAGGATTCCTAACAGTGTCAGTTTGCAAACTAATACCAAGGGAATACATATTTTAAAATTCAAATTCTTTCTTTCATATAGTCACTGGTTAAACTGTACCAGTTACAGAGTTACGGATAACAATCTGATTTTCAAAGGGCAAATCTTTCAAAGGAAGGGGGTAATCCCTTCTGTAGGAAAATCAGATTCAGAGTCCCCTCTCTAACGGGGGTGGGGCTGGCTTCAAAATCACGGAGTAGGCCCCCAGTGTGTCTCACAGAACGCTCCGGGGAGGAAACCCACATCACTGATGGCTAAAATTGGAAAAACAGCCAATGGAGGACCCCCTCTGCCCTCCCTCCTTCCAGGAGTGACATAGTTCAGAGTTGACACAAATTATCTCAATGGAAGCCCAAGATCTTGGCTCATCAAGGACAATCCCAGGCACCTGGAACCCTAACCCAATGCGTTTCCAGAGAGCTGAGAGGGGTCTGGCTTGGAACAAACAGATTTGGTAAGAATGCACAACTTGTCCCAGAGTCCCAGGGAATGGGGGTGAGTGAGGGAATGGGCAGTCCCTGAGAAATCTCAATGGCCAGTGACTTCGCCAGCTGCCTTCCAAAGGGTGGGGGTGCGGAGGGGGGGGTTGGAGGGAAGTCTTCCCCAAGCCTAATCAGGGAGCAGCAAGGCTGCGACCGAACTCAAAGAGGGTCCCCGGGCGGGTGGGGGGAATCAGTGCCAACAGGTCCCCTTCGAGCCCGTCGCCAGGGCTGACTGCCGGCCCAGGGAGAGGGCCTGTGGGGGTAGGGGTTGGAAGGCTGGTGGGGGGGGACCGCAGAGAGAGGGGAGGGGCAGCAGGGCTCACAGACACGGAGGACAGGGACAGCGAGAAGGCACAAAGGGAGGGGCAGGCAGGGACAGAAGACAGACGGAGCCGCTGGGCGCGACGCCGAGCAGAGACAGGCCGGCAACAGGGAAACTGAGGCAAAGAAAATCACGGAGCCTTGTGCGGCCCACCTGGGCGAAGGCGGCTCCCCAGGCCGCGGGAAGGACCCGCCCCCACGGACACAGGGCGCGGCCCCCCCACCCCGGCCCCGCGCCCGGCGGCCCAGGGCCCCGCGCCACTCACCGGACTTGCCGGCCCCTCGGCGCCCCAGGATGGCCAGGTTGACCTCGAGGGGCGCGCTCTGCGGCCCGCTGCCCGCGCGGGGCTTCCCGAACACCGAGGACATGGCGCCGCCCCGGAGAGCCCCGCGCGGCCGCCCGCCCGTCGGGCCTGGAGAGCGGGACGCGCGCTTCCCCGGCGCCGGCCCCCGTCGGCGTCCGCGCCCTCGGCCCCGCGCACCCCGGCCGGCCGCCACCCGGGGGAGGAGGGGCCGGTGGCGCCGGGAGGGCGGGGCCGCCCGGACGCGACCGAGCGCCTTGTACGGGCTGCGGAGCCCCCCGCGGGGCGCGCTCGCTCGGCCCCCGGCGCGGGGAGGGAGCTCCGGCCGGCCGCGCCCCCACCGCGGGTCCCGGCCCCGGGGACCCAGCCCGTCGCCCTCCCGAGCGCACCCAGACCCTGCCGGGAAGGAGCAGAGCGAGGGAGCCCCAGGGCCGGGGGGTAGCGGGGAGGAGGTCTGCACTCCTCCCCAACCTCCCCCTCAATCTTTTCACCAGCAAGAAAATCCACCCCTCCCACTGTTCTACCGAGCGGGCTCCGCCTCCTCCTCCAGGAAGCTTTCCGGGTTCAATTCCAAGCTTGCCCGTTCTTTAGCTCAGCCTTGGCACTCCATGTCCCCAATCACATTATTCTGCCCTTTCCTGTGAAGACTGTAGTGGCCTCACTGCAGAACCCCGGCTTCCGGGAGGGGCGGTGGGGCAGAGAGAACCCCCCACTAAGATTTCAGGGACAATGTAGGTTCAGCTTCAAGAAACCTAATCCATCCTGAATTACTGTCTCTCCCTAACGGGAGCTAATGAGTTGCATGTGTTCGTAGCTTGTTGTGTAAATGGGGTATTTGTTCTAAAACCTGGCACTGCCTCTTGCCTACAGCAATTCTGGGATTAGTGGTGAGCCTGGCAGGGATCACCTGGTCATTCCCCTTGGGACTCAGGATAAATCTGGTCATACCGAAGACAGGCCAGAGGGCCCACACCTCGACCCTGGGCGCTTAGGATCTGGTGCTAGCTCCTTCCCTGGAGAGATCTTGGGCAAGCCACCTTGTTTCTTTGGGCTTTGGTATTCCCATCTATAAGTACTAAAGGAAGGGGAAATGAGCCACAATAGAGAGTAACAGAATCAGCCCTGGGCTCCAGGCCTGTGAACATTCTAGAACCCTGTGAGGCATCTCTTTGGGAGCACACTCCAGGCTAGAGCCGGGAAAGGCATGGGGGCCTCAGAGACCCCTCCCGGCAGCCCTTCTCCTCCTGCTTCCCCCAGATGATTAGCTCATCTACCCACCCACCCAGAGAGGAGCCATGGAAAACCAGTCTGCAGGCAGGGCCCAGGGTCAGAGCCGGACGGTAATAAAGTCTCTTCAACGGAGAACAATTATTTTCCTGGCCAGGACATGGATATTGACTCGGCCTAACTGTGTTTTGGGAGGATCATGGTAAACCAGCTGTGTTTTAAGGTATTGGGTGGAATTTGTTTAGATTACACTCTCAGGCCAGAATTAGTCATATAGCTAATGGCCAAGGATTTTCCTTTGAGTTGTAGGAGTTGAGAAAGTGGGAGCCAAGTTCCAGGCACATCCCTGGGCTGGCCCATCCTGTGAAGACAGACTGGTTCCAGATGGGGCCTGTGGGGATAAAACCAATCATCTCAATGGACCACTGCTGGAGACAGGGCTAGCTGTGGGCCTACACCGGCCCAGCTGCATGGAACCTTAAGCTCTGTGACTTTCCAGCTTCAGTGATGCTGGGATGTTACTTGACATCTATCTGGTCTCAGCTCCTCATCTGTAAGCTTAACCAACCAAGAGAGGGGAGCTGCAAGATTCTAGCTCAGTCTCAAGGTGAACTCTCTAACCATCTGACTGTCTGTAGTCAGAAAGGACTGCCTTTGGTGGAACTGAACCCCTCTCCCCTGACACTGGTAGCAACCAAGGGGGTGACCACTTTAAGAAAGCGTTGTAGAGGAGACTCCATCATGACTTGCTACGGTGCAGTAAGATGACCCTTAATTCTCTTCCAGCTTAGAGATTATTTGAGCTGGTGGCCAGCTGGTTGCTGGGACCCTCAGCTGTGACAGCTCAGTGCTCAAAGTCTGCCCCTCCTCTGAGGCTTTGGAAGAAAACAGTGCCCACCTCATCGCTGGGACCAGCCCTTCGCCATCCCGTTTCCTCACCTGTGAGCTGCTACTGTTAGACCCTGGAATAAGCTACTTTGCCCTTCTGGGCCTCAGTTCCTCATCTTTAAAATAAGGCCAAGCCTGGGCAACACTGTGAAACGCTGTCTCTAACAAAAACATATAAAAAAAAAATTAGCTGGGTATGGTGGTGTGCACCCATAGTCCCAGCTACAAGGGAGGCCACCGTGGGAAGGTAGCTTGAGCCCAGGTGGTCAAGGCTGCGGTAAGCTGTATTTGCACCGCTGCACTCCAGCCTGGGTGACGGGGCGAGACCTTGTCTCAAAATAAAACAGGGACAATATCAAGAAGTATATTAGATGACATGTGTTCTATCCAGAGCTTCAAGAAGTAGGGTAGTTCCCCGTCCTCCTCAGGATACAAATGGCACACATTTCTCATCCACCTACGAAGAAGTCACAACCGTTTGGTGACTTCTACACTAAACGTTTAGTGACATTTGTACACTTCAGGTCCAGAGAAAGGTTGTTCTGCTAGGGCAAGTAACCCAACTGTCCTTAGCCTCTATCCCCAGCCCCCATCCAGGGTCTCATAGGAGGCCCTGGGTACTCAAAATGCAGAGGATGTGGCACCAAGCCCAGCAGTGGGTATGCAGCAGGTGCTCACTCGATATCTCTGGAGTGGACGCTGGAGCAAACCTAGGTCTAGACATGTAGGGCCTGTGAGTTTTCCTGACGGCAGGGCCCACCCTTGCCACCCGTCCCCAGGAGCCACTTCACATAAAGCTAAGCTTTTGGTACCCTCTGGTGATGTGGCTGCCTCTTCTGGAGGCACAACATGACAACCATGGTAAGTTCAGATGTCAAAGCTGAGCCTTAGAAGCCAGATTCAAACGCCACTGGACAGATGAAGCACGGCAGCCTGAAGAGTTCGGGCAGCTTTTGTAAGGCAGGGGTGGTACCGGCATCAGAGCCCAGGCAGGAGTCCTGACTCCCAGTCCAGTGCTCTTCCTTCTCCAGGTCCAGGCAGTACAAGCCACTCACTACCCTGTGTGCAGAAACACCTACGTGCATCAGTAGCAAGGGCCAGGGCATTCCCATCAGACTTCAGAGCGGGGGGGTGTCTCCCAGGTCAAGGGTTATAGCTTCTCTATCAGACTGGAGACTCCCACAGGTTAGCGTCCCAGAGAGTCTACTTAACAGACACCTACTGTGTGCCAATCATTGTGGCTACAGGGTGAACAACACTAGGTCTGCGCTCTAGAAAGGCTGAGTCTGAGGCAGGCTCCTTTCTCCTTTCTTTGCCCCCATCCCCAGCCTCACACAGTGTGGGGGATGCAGAGTGGAGAGGGAGGTTGGTGCGGGGTCGAGCAGGGCCTGGGAACTCTGTGGGCTGCCCACAGCCGGGATAGTTCCTTGTCCTCTCCAAATCCCAGAGGGACACTCAGTGTCCGGGAGGAGGAAACTCTCCCCAGCTGCAGGCAACACCCCACTGGGGCCGTGGGGGTGGGACAAAAGGGCTGATCCTCAGCCCAGCCTTAGGAAAACATGACCCCCACCTTGGGTGACCCCCTCCCCACTGCCTGGCTGCTGAAGGTGGAAACTGGGTGTGTGCACAAGCCCCAGCCCACTCAAGGCAGGGCTGGACTTGGAAAAAATCAAGCCAAGAGCAAACTTCAGCCAGGAGGGGTTTGCGCTCCCTCCCCCTCCTGCTCTCTGGAGAGGGCCACGCAATGGTTCCATCTGGCTGTGTCTGCCAGTTACTAGGTGTCTGGAACAGGCCATCTGGGAGGGAACGATGGTCCCAGGACTATGCAGCAGCCCGGCCCCCAGCAGAAGGCAACTGTTTCCCTGCCCTGAGGCAAGACTAGTGCAGGTGAGGAGAGGCAGCTGGGGTCAGTGGGCTCGTGTTCAGTTCCCCCCACATCTCCATTCATAACCAAGGAAAAGCCCAGCTCATTTCTAGGCCTTTCTTTTCTCATCTGTGAAATGGGAACAGTCAGACACCCTCTCCCTTCCACTAAGGCCACCAGCGAGGAAGGACACAGTCAGGACACAGCACTGAGAGCCCACTGGTCCCCAAGATTGGGACTGTCATATCTGCTGCCTGGACATCCCAGGCCATTCAGCCAATATGCAGCCTTGGGGAAAGAGAGAAGCTGGCAGAGCGCCTGGGATAGTATTCGTGGGGGCTCCTGCCCACCCATCCCCCCATCTCCTCCTCCTCTTCCTGTCTGGTCCCTGGGGCAGAGAGTCAGAGATATTTCTGGCTGCCTCCTCCAGGCCTCTGGCTTCCCAGGCTCACACAAGTGGTCCCCACATCCCATCACTGCTTTGATGGAGTGAACTGGGTAGGAGTTCCCTAGCGGGGGAGGGGCACATTCCTGTTGAATCTGCAGATTCATACGTGATGATCTATGCGTATTCTAAGGGGGGAGAAACGTTGCCCTGCCCTTCTTCCCACCTTCTACTTGGTCATTGTGAGCCACTGATCCTCCTTAAGAAGGCCTGCAGGTAAGGATGGGGCAGCTGAACATCTGAATGGCAGATACCATTTTACACATGTCTGGGCCTCAGTTTCCTCACCTTAGAATAACGTGGCAGGTAGAGATAATCATTAAGCTCCATTCCATCCCCAGCTCCATTTTGGGACCGATAGTTTTAGCTGGTCACCCAGAAAAGTGCTCAGCAGTGGGAAAAGTGCCAGAGTGGGCAGCAGGAGGCCTGGGGCTGTCTGCCTCAAGCTACAAGACCCTGAGCACTTCCCTTTTCCCTCTGCCCCAGGTCCTCCACTGTAAGTGAGAGGATTGAACCATTACGAGCCTGCAGTGCCTTCCAAATATGCCCTCCTGACACAAGGTGACTGCCCAGCATTCATAGCACAGAGAGGCATCGGAGCACTGCGGTATAGCCCAGCACTTTGAGAGGCCGAAGAGAGTGGATCACTTGAGGTCAAGAGTTCAAGACCAGCCTGGCCAACAAGGTGAAACCTTGTCTCTACTAAAAATACAAAAATTAGCCAGGCGTGGTAGTGCATGCCTGTAGTCTTATCTACTATGGAGGCTGAGGCAAAAGAATCACTTGAACCCAATAGGCAAAGGTTGCAGTGAGCTGAGATCATGCCACTGCACTCCAGCCTGGGCAACAGAGTGAGACTCTTGTCTCAAAACAAACAAACAAACAAACAGACAAACCCAACCAAACAAAAAACCCAACAACAACAAAAAACACAACGGTATGGGCAGACCCTCTATCAGTCCCCAGCCTTTCTGGCAGCAGGGACTGGTTTTGTGAAAGACAGTTTTCCCATGGACGGTTTTGGGGATGATTCACGCACATTACATTTATTGTGCACTTTATTTCTATTATTATTATAACATATAATGAAATACTTATACAACTCACCACAAAGTAGAATCAATGGGAGCCCTGAGCTGCTTCTCCTGCAACTAGACAGTCCGATCTGGAGGTGATGGAAGACAGTAACAGATCATCAGGCATTAGTTAGGCTCTCATAAGGCCCAGGCAACCTAGATCCCTCCCATGCACAGTTCACGATAGGATTCACCCTCCAATGAGACTCTAATCCTGCTGTCACTGATCTGATAGGAGGCAGCGATCAGGCAGTAATGAGGATGGGGAGTGCCTGTAAACACACACGAAGCTTCACTTGTTCACTGCTCGCCTCCTGCTGCGTGGCCTGGTTCCTAAGGTCCGCGGCCCTGGGGTTGGGGACCCCTGCTCTAGAATCAGCCTGGCTGCGTTCCAGGCCTAGTTCTGCCACCCTCTGGCTATGTGACTAAACCTCTCGGCAATTCAGTCTCTTCATATATATTAAATAAGGCCATTAATAATTTCTAATTCAAAAGAGTTAATATAAAGTGGCTATAACAGTGCCTGACACACCATGCAATTTAAGTGTTAGCTATCATTTCAGGAAGCCCTTTTTCCCATCCACAGGCATATGATCCCCTAGGCAGCCCCACTTCCTTTTCCCAAGGCCTGGAGCCACGCAGCAAGTGTGGAATTCCCATTCCCATCCCAAGTCAGAGGCTTTATGGGATGCTCCTGCAAAACAGGGTTGCCATCCTTCCCATTTTTCAGAGAAGAAAACCAAGACTCAAAAAGAGATTGGACTGGCTCAGAGTCAGGGCCAGACGCCCAGGACAAATTAAAACCCTGGTCCTGGGCCCCAGTCTGGCCCAATGTATTTGCTCCATCTCTGCCTCATTCTCCAATTTGCCTGTCCCACTCCTCTCAGCTGAAGAGGTGGGCTGGGTATTCATTTTGCCTCAGTTTCTCCCTAGCAGAATGGCCCTGGACAAGTTACCTAAACTCTCAGCGTCATCCAGAATATTTCAGATGTTGTCCCAAGACTGTGAAATAGGTGTTATTATTGGCCCCATTTTATTTTTTTACTTTTATTTTTTTTGAGACAGAGCCTCACTCCTTTGCCTAGGCTGGAGTGCAATGGCGCTAGCTTGGCTCACTGCCACCTCAGCCTCCTGAGTTCACGCTACTGTCATGCCTCAGCCTCCCAAGCAGCTGGTATTACAGGCTAGCGCCACCATGCCCGGCTTTTTTTTTTTTTTTTTTTTAGACAGCGTCTCCTTTGTCGCCAGGCTAGAGTACAGTGGTGTAATCTCGGCTCACTGCAACCTCTGACTCCTGGATTAAAGTGATTCTCCTGCCTCAGCCTCCCGAGTATCTGGGATTATAGGCACGCGCCACCATGCCCAGCTAATTTTTGTATTTTTGGTAGAGATGGGGTTTTACCACGTTGGCCAGGATGGTCTCGGTCTCCTAACACCGTGATCCGCCTGCCTTGGCCTCCCAAAGTG